TGGCCTTTTTCTTTTTCTAGCGAAAAATGTTACCTTTTCAGTGCCCTCTACACACAAATACTAAGGAAAAGGCAATGAGGCCACATTTTTTGTAGAAAATAAAACGCCATACGTTAAACAGTAGTACTTTACGATTTCATTTTGGTTAAAATACACATACATACGCGATTGACAGAAAATCTAACTCACGCACGCTCACGTCAGCAAAAATTTCCTTCACGCACGATCACAGAAGTTGCGTGATTTTTCTCTCAAAATCGCTCACGCTCACGAGTGAAAAAACGTGACACGACGTGTTACGTAGAAAATCCCGTGTTTTTTTAAATATTTAAAATATATTTTAAAATCGTAATAAAGAGCTTATGCCCTGCAAGTCTTAAACTATTTATGTAGCAAAAGTTGAATAAGAGCTTACAACACATAAACGTGTTATTTGAAATGTTTACATCCGTTCCTTTAAGCTCTTACTTAATAATTTGTAACAGTGCCACTTTCGTGCTGTAAAACGACTTTCTAATTACAAAAGCATTAAGGCAATGAGATTTGCCATCAACTGAGCGAAACTGCTAGAATACATCTACGAGACCCATTACCTACATATTCGACCAACCGATTTACTACAATTTTCTATTTCGAAATTCTCTCCACCTAACTTTTAATTCAGTTGTCGTGCTACGAGATTTTTGCAAAAAGTTAAATAAAGACAAAAGTAGAAAAAAGCAAAAGCAAGCTTATGTAAAACAAAAACAAAAACAGCAATTCTACTCATACAAGAATTTCTCTGTATTCCATTTGAACTTATCAAATTGGTATTTTTGTTGAAATCCTTCTGCTACTGAGCAAGCCCTTTATTAGCTGCCTAATGTGAATTTTAAAGGATTCACATTTTAGAAACATTAAAAAATTACAATGGCAAAATAAAAGCTATTGGGTGATGCAATTCAGCGACTTACTTTCATGTGTAGCAAGTTGTTGGTGTGAGGGAGAGAGTATTTGGAGCATAGCGGGAAAAAGGTAAATACTAAATACCTTAATACGAGTACTCGGGTCAGCTGCGACGCGTTGCATAAAAAGTGTAGTTTGGAAACTAAGAGCTCCAAGCGTGGAAGTAACGTACATACATACATATGTAGTTGAAAACAAAAGTAATGGAAATTACTTAGAAACAACAAAAATGGCTGCAAATTAGTAATAAGAGTATTACAGTTGGACGAGTGAGTAGAAAGCTAAAACGTTTCTGTCGGTCAATTCACTTATGGCACAATTGTATGCACCTGGCCAGCAAAATTTTAGCCTCTACTTTTGCTCTGCCGTCTATAGTATTTTCTACTTATTTGGCGTTGTAACCGCCTAAGCGATTTTGGCCGAGTTCAACAAAGCACGCCAAATGAAGCCAAGTCCATCTTCACCTGGTCTTTTCATCACAGTCGGGGCCTCCCTCTTCTTCTGCTACCGCCAGCGGGTTTCGAGTTGAATACTTTCAGAGCTGAGGCGGATCTGCTGAATTTTAATTCGCTGCACTATGTCCATGTCATTGTAATGCCCATACAGCTCATCGTTCCATTGTCTGGGATGGCAAAGAGGCAGAATCTTCAATACTGTGGTAGAAAAAAGACGCTGAATTTGCAAACACACAAATATATTTATT